GGCCGGGAGGCCCTGCGGAAGGGACAGATGTGGGACAAGTGGGGCATTGTCCACCCTCTGACCAGACATGCAGGAGCTACCGGGGTGGGAGCAGCGAGGCAAAGCTCCCAAAATAGCCCAGGGTGCGGCGGTGGCTGGGCTAGGAGCTGACTTCATGCCGCAAGCATCCCGGGAAGCCCAGCTGCTGTGCCGCACCTGTCCCACCGATCACTGCCCTCGGGGGGATGGCCCAAGGATGCCCGGCCACCCACACGGGGGCACCTGGCTCCCCTGGAGGCCTGGCAGGGGCCTGCAGGACCCGGGCCATGGTACCCTGCCCTGCCTGGTACTCCATGGGTCGGGGCCAGCCTCACCCCCTTGACAGGCCAGGGCCACTTGGTAAGGGAGGAGGCGGGCTGTTTGTGTGCAAGGCGGGCTGCCCCTGGGGGTCCCTGAGAGGCCAAGAGTGGGGGAGGAACTGGGGCGACCCCCGTTCCTTTGAGTGGGGGTCTTTGTGGATCCGACGTTGGACTCAGAACAGACTGCACCCCCCCCCGGGAAGGTGACATGAGTGACAGATTGGCACGTGGTCCCTGACTAACTCAATCCCTGCACACAGGCCACTCACTCACCACGCGTGCCCCTGAGAGGCTCGCTCTGGCCCCTGGGTCTCTCGCCCCGCCACCAGCTGCACACTCCCGGCAGCTCTCAGGACACCCACACCCCGAGCCCCCATCCAGCCCAGGGTGAAGTTGGGGTCGAGGACAAAGTCGGAGAGGGAGCGGGGAGCAGCATCCCAGCCCCTCCCGCTTCTGCGGCTCCTGCAGCCGGCCCAGGCCTGGGCCCGCTGCAGGGGCCACGGAGCGACAGTGCACAGGGCCCTGGTGTCCCACGCCTCAGGCCAACAGGTGGACAGGAAATGAGGGTTTTGTCCTATCCCGCTCTGGCTGGGCCCTGATGGGCTGGGGGCTGGGAAGGAGAAGCACCTGAGACCTGCAGAGCTTCCCGGGACAGGTGCCTGTGGGGGTGACTTCTGTGCAGCTCTGGATGCGCACCCCGGAAGCCAGGGCAGCAGGAAGCTGGAGGGAGGTCGGTGTGGCCGCTTGGAACGGGGCGGCCCGCACAGGTGAGGGAGCTGGGGCCGGGCAGCTGGGGCTGCAACTCCACTCTGAGGTTCCAGAGCCGCTCTCTGCTTGCTGGGAGCAGCTGCAGCTTCAAGCGGCCTCACGGCTGCCGGGGTCAAGGAAGCAGGGGCACAGGAGGGGCAGAGCCCCGCCAGGACCTGAGCAGAAGGAAGGGAAGTGCACGGGCGTCGGGGGAGGTCCCCTGGTGTGGCTGAGCTCTGAGGCGGGGCAGGCAGGCCAAGAACTGACCTCCAGGCCCCATGGCAACTACCGCCAGGCACAGACATCTCCCGCAGAGCCAGAGCTAGGACTCTGCCTCGGACCTGGACAGGGCTGCTGTCCGGCTGAGCCCGCTGCTGCCGCTTGACTCCGGGGCAGGGCTGGGCAGTTTCTGCAGAGCTCCTGGAACCGGAGGGCAGCAGCTGTCCCCAGAATCTGCCCTGAAAGCCAGGCCCCTCCCTGGTCCTCACGGCCCTAGGACCACAGTGTGGCAGGGTCCATTAGGTCCCACGTGGGACTGACTGGGCCACGACCCAGGATCTGGATTGCAGACACAGTGGCCATCGGGGTGGACCTTATGCGGCCCTCAGCAGGCCTGGACGTGCTGGCCTGCCTGGTCCGCCTCCTGATCACACAAGTGACTCTGAGACTGGGGACAGAGGTGACACTAAGGCCACCACCCTGCACTGTCCGTGGCGCTGCTCTCAGCAGCTCAGACACCCATGCTCTGGCTGCCCCTTGGGAGCAGCTGCACCAGCCCAAAATGTCACTGGGAGGAAGGACCCTCCCTGCCCCAGGGCCCCAAGAAGGAGGAGGAGGGAACGGCTGCCAGCCCCAGGTCTCTGATGCCAGCCCAGCGCCTGGAGAGGCCTCAGATTCCTGAGGGGTGATGCAGCGGCCTCGTTATCACAGGCTGTCATTGAGGGAAGACTGGCAGACGGAAGGAGAACTATGCTCGGAGCCCAGCTCAAATTGCAAGGATTCATCTGGAAGTCCTCCCTCAGACACACACAAGGTCCCTGCCAGGCGCCCAGGAGGGGCCAGAACTCAGCACAGGAAGTGCCTGGGCTCCCGGACACTGGACCTGAGGAGGGGCTGGGGCCAGCCGGCTCAGCTGGGGTGGACAGCCTGCAGCCCTGTGCCAGCTCCACAGCGCAAGGAGGGGGCAGCTTGGTCTACCCAGGCTGGAAGTCCTGCCAAAGTCCAGCAGCCCAGGTTCCCCAGCTGCCCTTGAGAAGCACCTCCCATGGCTCCCACGGTGGCTCCGGGGAGAATCTGCTCCACAGCCCTGCAGGCCTGGATGGCCCCGGCTGACTGTGCTCCTCAGCATGTTGGAATGTGGAGCTGGAGGCCTGCAGAGTGACGGGCGGTGAGGCTGCCGAGGACGTGGCCAGGTGCTGCTGCTAGTGAAACGGCCTCACTGGCTCCTTGAATGTGAAGCGCTTGGCTCTCAGCGGCTTGGGCTGATGACTCAGTTTCCTGGTGCTCTTATGCTAGTAGCAAGAACCTACCAACCCACGGACAGGCAGTCACGGCTGTGGCGCTGGCCACAAGGCTCTCCCCTGCTGGATTCCTAGGTGACATCCCCAGTCTACTCTGCTGGCCACGCGGGCTGCTTCTGGTTGCAGCGGTGAGGACAGGCCTGCCAGGAGCACCCCGAACGTTCCTCCTGGTCCCTGTCCCCAGCCCTGGTTTCCTGGGGACACGTGTCTGGGAGCATGCACTGAGCTGGCACATCTTCACATGCAGCCGTGACCTCACAGCCAACCTGGGCGTGGGCGTCCCTGTCCTCTCCGGCCTCGTCAACGTGGTGCTGTCCAGTGACCAGTGACCTGGCTGGGGCCCTCACTCCAGGTGTGGCTTGAGGCAGACCCAGCAGCCCCAGCAGAAAGACTGCAGCAGGAAAGCTGGGTGGCCGTGTGTGGAGTGGAGGGGCCCCTAGCTCCTTGGGAAGGAAGTGCTGGCTGCAGCTCTCAGCGTACCAGCTCCTGGGAACAGGAAGCAAAGGGGACCCTGTATGTGTCTCTGTGTCCCTCCAGCATCAGCATGGTTGCCGGGAGTGAGACTCAGGCCAGGCTCTGTTTATGGTCAAGGTGGGACAGGACCCCCGCCCCCACCGTCGGAAGTGAATGTGGCTTTCAGCCAATGCATGGAATGGCGCCACCAGGAAGGGTGAGGATCGCCGTGGTGAGGATGAGCTGCAGCCCCTGGGCCTTGCACAGCCCATCCAGCGCCAGCCAGGAAAGGAGAGAGAAGCAGGGGCAGTCCAGGGCCCTCTTCCCACGGCATCCTGAAGGCAAGCAAGCAAACCTCCCCTCTGGAGCCTGACCCGGAGCCAGAATTTTGGAGAACTGATGCTGGTTAGGGGCCGAGAACCAGGCAGAAACTTAGAGGTGAAGCCAGGAATTGTTTGGGGTGCCCAGCACCCCACCTAGCCCTCTGCCGCCTGCCCGTGGGATGGGCATGACTGCCTGCGCCTTACCTTCCAGGCGGCCTGGGTGCTGCACTCGGGGTTCAGCAGGCACTGGGGGCTGGACAGGTGCAAAGCCTGCAAGGTGCAGGGACGGCGTGCTCCCAGGTGGCTCAGATCCCTGTGTGCCAGGAGGGTCAGGACCAGGGATCGCCCGAGCAGGTATCCTGGGGAGAGGCCCGAGACCCGGCCCATGACCTTTCCCACCCCCTAACAGCAGGATTCCACCTCTACCCAGTGGAGGCCAGATGCCCTGCAGCAGCTGTGCACCAACTACAGGGGGCAGCGTGCAAAGGGCAGGTGGACGGACAGATAGACAGTGGAGCGAGAGAGAAGAGCATTTCCCCTCTGCACGGTGGGAGGAGGCCGTGCCGCAGGGCTAGGGGCCCAAGGACAGGCAGAGGGGCTCTCGTGGAGGGGCGCAGGCAGAAAGGGAGCCTTGGAGGTAGGAGGAGCCCCAGCCTCGGTCCACCCCCTTGCCAGGTTCCAGGGAGGGGGCAGAGCCGGGGAAATGACCCTCCCAGTGTTCGCTTCGAGCCCCAGGGTTTGTCCTAGGCAGGCGGAACCTCCCAGCCACAGAGACCTGCCCTTAGAAGCGTCCAGGCCACCACACAGATTGAAGACGTGGCAGGTGACCGGGCAGGCTAGGGAAGGGTGAGCCCTTTCTGCACCTGAGGAAGTCTCCTTGCACCTAAGCAGCGTCCAGAAAAACCCTTTGGCCACACTAAGATTGAGAGGATTCCAGGAATAAAATTTAATAAAATTGAAAACACACGTACAAGCACGTAAATCTTTACAATGTCCTTCCGCGGGTACACCTTCCTGTCCACACCTGTACCCTGCGTAAGTGGGTCGTGTGTGTGGGCAGCACGTGAACAGCTCAAGAGATGTGGAAAGTTCACTTTGCATAATGAAGGCAAGCCACACAGCGCCTTGCCCCTTGCTTCTTTCCTAAGTGTTCTTTTCCCATCTCAGAGGTTAGGGTGTGCTGCCTCCGAGGAGGAGGAGGACGTCGGTGGGGAGGAGGGCTGGGCGCCGCCCCGTGTGGCTCTTTGTTGGGGCGCACACTGCGGTGCCCTTTTACTGTGCATCTTACATTTCTCGTATCTAAAGCATACTTTACAACATTCCCTCCATAAGCAGAAATTGTAGAAATACACTTTTGGTGATAGTTAAAAATTTTAAAAGGACAAGCAATCTCTTAGATGTTTGTTCAAAGGACCGGCGTGGTTTCCAGGCCACAGCTGTCCCTGCGTCCTCCGGCGAGGGTGGTGTCCCCTCCCTTCCTGAGCTCAGCCTGCCAGACTCGAGCACCGTCCGACTGCTCTGTTCCCAGTGCTGAAACGCAGGTTCTCAGCACACGTGGGCCCCTCCCACACTGGGAGCACCAGTGACCTGGCTGGGGCCCTCACTCCAGGGGTGGCTTGAGGCAGACCCAGCAGCCCCAGCAGAAAGCCCCTCCCCGCCTCCGCCCCCAAAGGGGACACTGCCCCCCTGCAGCAGTGCAGACAGGACCACCGCTGCCACCCCCAGGGACCCCAGCACAGGCCCCACCCTGAGCCCCAGCCACCCATCGCAGATGGAACCCAGTTCTGGGTGGTGCCATCCTCTCCCGAGTCCTGCACAGATCAAGAAGACTGGGCAGGAGCGATTCTGTCCTCTGCTTGCTGCCTGCTGGAGTGGGAGTGTGGACCTTCTGCCCTGCAGCCAGGATCCCCCATTCGCTCCTGGTCACAGGCCTTGGGCTCCAGCCTGAACCCCACCATGGCTGCCCTGGTCTCCGGGACCCTGGGGCCCAGCCCACAGCTCACACCCACTCTCTGTGAGCTGCAGGCTGGTTTTCCGGGTGCAGAGAGGCGATCCACACACACAGGGGCCTCTGGGTCTTGGGATCCAGGTCCACTCAACCACCCGTAGATAGAATCATCCCCCCAAAATCTCACTTATGCTGACCGCACACAGAAGGTTTTCTTGTCGTAGTCCTTTAACAATCCAGCGTTAACACCCACTCGCGCGGCATTTACAGCGTATCAGGCGCTCATCTGAAGGTGAGGTGCAATACAGGGAGGAGTGCACGGGTTCTATGCAAAAAATCCAGCACCTTTTCAGATCAGGAACATGAGCATCAGGGGGTCGGGCACCCATGAGGAGAGGGGACTGAGGGGCGGCCAGATCATATTATGTCTGCAATCAGTACTGTCTCCCTCAACAACCCTGAACAGTGCAGCACGTATCAAATGAAAACCTCGTATCCAGAACACAAAGAATTTCTATGGCCAGTCGTGGTGGCTCACATCTGCAGTCCCACAACTCAAGAGGCTGAGGCAGGAGGGCGGCCGGAGCCCAGGCATTTGAAACCAGCCTGGGAGACATAAAAGACAACGCCTCAAAACAAAGGGACTATTACGCCCTCCGTAAAGCTGACATGCAGAGCAAATTTTGTCCTCCAAAGATGACTCTGTCTTTGGTTCTTTGCTTGATTCACACAAAAATGAATCATGGCTTATGATCAGTCCAAGTCCTATAAACCACCACATGGTAAACAAACAATAACTTCTACAAATCAATGAGAAAACACTAGACAGCTTGTTCTCACAGTGGGGAAAGACTTGCAAAAGCATTCACAAAATAGTGAGTAACGTAAGAAAAGGGGCTTGACCACAGCGGCGGGCCTGGCTTACCAGGACCGGTGCTGGGTGGGGCCAGTGCCAGTGGACACTGTCGGCCTAGGACGCCGCTGGGCAGCACCTTCTGAAGCTGGAACCGAGTCTCCCGAGAGACCCGCGCAGGCTACCAAGACGCACCTGGGTGAGGAGCCCTGCGCTGTGCCCGACATCCCTCACAGGAGCGGAGAAAGCCCTTTAGGCAATTATGCGTGCAAACAATGGACAGCAAGGAAAGGGAAATGGATTTCTGCCCGAGACAATCTGGACGAATCTCACAAACAAGCTCAAGCAGAAGAACCCAGGCCCACGCGCGCGGTTTCTTTTATTCGAAGGGTAATGTCAGACAAACGCTCTCACAGGAACGGGGTCCGATCAGCGCAGTGGCACGGTGCGCACGGGTGGGACTTGTGAGCCTTCGATGAAGGGGCTGCTGGGAAAGCACACCCAGGAGGACGCAAGGGCGGCACTGAAGTCTGGAGACGCTTCTCAGCTCGGGTTCCAGCACTGATCTCCAGGCCCCCACCGGCTCTTAGAGACCAGGAAGGGCTGCCCTGGCTTTTGCCGTGCACGGTTTATGTCCCCATAAAGCTGACGTGCAGCATAAACTTCGCCCTTCAAGGATGACTCTGTCTTTGGCTCTTTGCTTGGTGCTCATGAAGATGAATCATGGCTCAAGATCAGTCGATGCCTATAAAACCACTGTGTGGTCACCCACCACGCCCGCCCCCACGGCCACGCGCCAGTGCAGCTGGCTGGGACCTCCCCGCCTCCGCCCCCAAAGGGGACACTGCCAGGAAGGCTGGGGGGCACTGTGAAGGCAGACAGGTGGGCACAGAGCCAGCGCCTGAGGGCCTGACGTTCTCACGCCCCACAGCGTCTCCAGGCTCTTTCCCCCTCTGCAGGGCGGGCGCCCAGGCCCTGTTGCAGCTCGCCCTGGGGTTCAGCCAGCCTCCGACCCACCCAGTTATGCTGAACACGGTCCCTGGTCCCTCCTCCTCGTGGACTTCCACCCAGTGGGAGCAGGGCCCCCTCCCGTACCTTCCTCCCCAGCCCTCGGGCTCTGTCCTGAGCGCACAGGGGCTTCCTCCCCACATCCAGGTCCCAGGGACAGGCCCTGGGCAGCTGGGCTCAAAAGTCAGGAGGAGGCTCCTCCTTCCCGCACCCTGGAGCGTGTCTCAGGCACACTGACCTCCTCCCGCTCTTTCTTCTCCTTTTACTGCTCGCGTCTTCCAAGCCAACTGTGGGTCCCTGAGGACAGAGACCCTTGGTCACCCACACAGGCAGAGTCCACCTCGCAGTGCTCAGGGGACGCTGTCCCCGTGCGAGACCGAAAAGTGCCTGAGTGAGCCAAGGCCTGGTCATCCCAGGCTGGTCGTGTCCTCCTGCTGCCTGGGCCCCAGGAAGTGGCACCCTGGGCGGCCAGCAATCAGCCCCGCCCCACAGGCTGCCCCGCATAGTGATCACAGGCGGAATCCTCAGTCCTCCAGGTTCACGGGAGCCGCGTACCCTGTGCGTGGCCCGGGGATGGTGCAGCCTCCACAGTGATGGAGCCCTGGGGCCAGCGCCCAGCTTGCAGCAGGCCCACTGCGTGCTGCTTGGAACTGGAGTCCCCAGCGCCCCTCCCTGGGGCACACAGGAGAGGGCGCCCACAGCAGGAAGCATGCTCCCCTCTGCCCCAGACAGAGCCAGGGGACAGAGCGTGCTTCAGGGACAATGGCCTTCCCTCCGCACCGCTGGTGCTGTGCTGGGAAACGTTCCATGAGGGCCCTCAGGGTGGGCATCGTGGTGATGCCATCGCTGCGGCCGGCCGGGCTCCTGCTGGCGGCCGCCCCTGCTTCCCTCCCTGGGAAATGAGGGCGGGGACGCAGAGTGCACTCGCCCCACGCGAAGGCACAGGGCTGCTCAGGGCTCTTCTACTTGACTCTTGTCTGCACCCAAAGGCTTGGTCCCTAATCACGGGGCCGCGCTTTTGCATAATTCTGCAACACAAGTACAAACACACGTACACACGTGATGGCTGTGACAGTGATGCGTGCTGTGACAGTCATCTCCATCACACTCGCCATGTCACCCCACTGAGGCCGCGGGTGGCCGTACACATCACCTCAGCACTGCCATTGGAATATTCCAGCTCCAGGCCTGCCTGAGAATGGAGACACCCGGAGCCTCAGCAAGTCCCACTCCTGCACTGTAAGCTGAGGGCTGTGACTCAGGGGCCCTGAAACCGTTGAGTCACGAATCTCCAGGACTCCGCAGTGGACCCAGCCGTCTGAGTCACCTCCAGTGCTGAATCATGCTGTCCCAACCCCAGGATCCCAGGGAGCGTGAAGGGCCTGCCGCTTGAAGCAGCTGCAGCCCCTGTTGGCTGCAGGGCCTTTCAGAAGGCTGTGAGGGAGGGCCAGGACTCTGGGGCAGCCTGGGGCTTATTCGGGCTCCTCTCCAGCCGCTGGGGCCCTGGGCACCGTGCCCACAGTGAATATACAAGAGGAGCCTCTGTTGGGTAGGCGCATGGGCATCCAGGGTAGGGAAGCATCTGGGCTAGGGATGAGTATCAGGGGCTGGCAGCCACCCTCACAGGCCTGTCTGCGTTCCCCAAGCCCTCCTTGCAGGGCTGTGTCCCCCCCTGGCTGAGGCCCCTCACATCCCTCCTGACCCACAGGTGGAGCCCTGCACAGAGGCCGGGGCCCTGCCACGGGAGCCAGGCCCAGAGACGTCCCACAGACAGAGCCCTGGCTCAGGACCCGCACGGTCCGCACAAAATGACACCGCAGCCATGAGGACTCCAGCTTCGGCAGCATGCACACAGGGAGACTGAGGCTCCCAAAGACACCCATCTACCCAGAGCACCAACAGGGCACCGCGTGGTCACTTGGCATGCAGTGCGCCACCAGCTGCCCAGCCGGCCCTAAGCCAGCCCTAAGTACAGCGCCCAGGAGGGTGTGCAGCAGGGTGAGGCAGAACCTCAGGGCCCTGTCCGTGTGGCCGGGGGTCAAGCCGGGTCCTTCCTCAGGGTGTCCTGCGCAGGGACACAGCGCTGGCGTCTGGGAAGGGCTGGGCAGGGGTGTGACAGAGAGCGAGAGCGGGCTGCACAGGGGTGGCTGAGGGGCTGGGAGGGGCCAGGGTCCCTGGCAGCGTGGCTCGTGCAGTCCTCGCTGAGGGATAACGGAAGGTAGAACTCAGTACAGTGTGGATGCACAGGGAGCGCTCCGCCGGAGAGGAAGAGAGGCAGGAGCCAGCTGGAGGAGTGGCGGCCAGCTCCCCGGGCTGCAGCGGGCAGGGGAGTAGGAGGGCGCTCTCAAGGGTCAGCAGAGTGGACAGTCCATCCACAGTGACCTCTGTCTGGCTTTCCCCACTCTGGAGGGCGATTCCAGCCCCCAGAAATGATGGTCCCCGGTGGATCCCCACATGTGCAGTTCCGGCTCTGGACCGTGGCCGGGCTCCAGCGTCCCTGCGGGGAGGACTAGAACTGGAGTTGTGTGAACAGGGGGTCTGGAGTCCCTGTGAGCCCTGGAAGTGACAACAGTGCCTCTGATCCTGGTGCCCTGTGTCTTGAGGGGGATGAGGAAGGCCAGGGACGTCAAGGCTGATAAGCTTCCTCTGGCCCCTCTCCCCAGATGGTCAACATGCCTGCCTCCGAAGCTCCAGGGCCAAGGACACGGAATAAAGGCCAGCTTCATTCCGCCTGTCGTTATCTACTGAGCGTCTGCAAACCCAGCAAGAGTCGCAGGTTTTAGCAAAAGCTGCCTTTAAGCCCCTCGTCACCTCAGAGAAAGCACTGAACAGGCTTGTAATGAGTAACGGGGCCATGCCTGGGAACTCGTCCGTCCCTGGGGGGTCTCCGCCTGCGTCCCTGGAGAACAGGCACCTGGTTCCCGGGAGGGGATCTGCAGAGCAGCTGCTGTGGGGGGCAGGCTGGGGCCCCTGATCCCTCTCAGCTCCCCTGGGTCTGTGCTGTCCGAATCTTGTGCCACTGGGAGCAGCTCCTGATAGCCTTGGGAACCCCCAAGAGTCATGGGGAGGAGAGAGTCCAAAGACGGGGGAACACACTCCCACAGACGTCCCAGGAGCATGAGCCGAGCCCCCTTCAATGTCCAGGAAAAGCCTGACCCTGAGGCGCCTTCTGGAAACTTCTGTCTGGCCATGGTCATCTCAAGGAACACCTCAGAATTCCAAGGTCCTAGCTCGGGGCACTCACTGATCAGAGGCCACATGGCTTTGCAGGTCACAAATATTCCCAAGGCAGCATCTACACAGTAAGAAATTCTCACAGACAAAGTGCGTGACCTTTGCTCATGCAGCCCTGTGCCCTTGAATCCTGGGGCAAGCTGCCACCACCAAGACAGGGTGCCTTTCACCCTGACAGTAAGTCAGGGAGCGCCTCAAGCCACAGATGGGTCCGGCGAGCTCTCCCGCCCGGCCTAGAGCCTCTCTGGTTGGCAGGCTTTGGGATACCAAGGTGGGAATCTTGCTTCTTCTCCCAGACACAAGATCTGTGACCCCATCACTGCTGAGGATGACCAGGGTGAGGGGACACCTTCCCCACAGGGTCGTGGCTTCCTCCCTGCCGTCACCTGCTCCCACCCCAAGCTCCCTGGGGTCCCCCAAGCAGGCCCCTGAGGTCAGGAGGCAGCAGGGAAGGGAGGAGCTCTGTCCCTCACCTAGGAAGGAGCCTTGAGGAGCGCAAGCTCCTCACCGGTGACCTGCAGGGCACGCAAAGGCCACATGGCCCAGCCAGGGTCCTCTGAGTGACCCTGGAAAGTGTCCGGACCACAGCACCCACACCAAACCCCAGGCTGGTGCTGTGTGCTGTGGAGTGGGTGGCGCCCTGCCTGTCCCCCCGGCCCCCCGTGCTGCCTGAACGCTCCTAACCCCCAGCCTCGGGCCCCGGACCTGGATCTGATGCAGGAAGACGGGTCAATACACTTCATCCTGGGCAACTTCCCTACTCTTGCTGATTATTTTTTAAAATACAGGAAACTGAATTACAAAAACATAAATCACAGAGAAAAGGATTTAAAACTTCTGTAAATTGCCCCCAGTAAAAGTTGAAGTATCTGAAATGATTCTAATTAAAAACAAAGTTTGCCAGGTGTGGTGGCTCACACCTGTAATCCCAGCACTCAGGAGGCTGAGGCAGGAGGATCACCGTGACTGGGCTACATAAGCAAGCTTAAGGCCAACTTGTACCACATAGTGAGACCCTATCTCAAAAAAAACCAAAAGTTGTGTGGTTTTTCCTGCTTCTAGTTGCTGGCCTTCCTTCCCCTTCTCTGTCTGTCCAGTGGTGACTTGCTGTCTCGGTACCAGCTGTCCCCTGACTGACATCTGAGAGCTCCTGGGGTAGCAGCATGAACTGTGGTCCACCTCCACAGTCATCAGCCCTGCATTCTGCTGACATCTTCCAACACACAGGCCCTGGGAAACACAGGCTTCAGGGTGACGCCGTTGTGGCCCCGGCCACTTCCTGCTCTACTTCCTGCTAACTTCGGAAGTTCTCTGGAAACCCTAAACCACAGGAGTTCACAGTGGCCACAGGGACACGTGTGGACGTGAGACTTGGCGTAGAAGAGAGGAGACCTTCCTTACAAACCTTATTCACCAGCTCTGGGGCCGTAAGTTGTGGCTCTTCCCCAAAGTGAAAATGACCATGAATTTTTGAATCCGTTCAGGACATCGAGGCAGCCAGGACAGCGTGACTAGGACACTCAGAAAACAGGACTCCAAAGGACCAGAGCAGGAAGTGCCGTCCCAGTTCCCCCACCCATCAGGGACCAGCTGTTTGCAGCTGGACGATCCATGAAGAGCAGAGGTGGGAGGGAAGTCAAACACTGCTCCTTCAGCCAGACACAGGAGGCTGAGCCAGGCCAGACACTGGGCCAAGCGGTCAGTGGGTGCTGGTGCTGCCTTGCCTAAGGCCGTCCAGCTGTGACCTCGCTCCCCACCCTCTCAGATGATGTCCCCAGGGCCTGGGGTGTAGCTCAGCGATAGATGCCTGCGTAGCATACACAGGGCCCTGGGTTCCATCCCCAGAACCAAAAACTTTTTTAAAAATTGTAAAAAGTATCATGGGGTGTGGCAAATGACCTCAGTATCCAGAAGCCACATCTGGAAGGTGCAGGGTCACCAGGACCTCTGGACAGGGGACGCTGGTGCCCCCAGCATGAGGGGTGGGGCAGGCTCGGCTTCCTCCTGGCACCCCCAGTTTGGAAACCTCTGGCAAATCCCTGATGCTGGACACCATTGCCCCGTGACACCTGGCAGCTGCCTCACAGGCCTGCCTGAGGAGAGCGGAGCCCAGGGGGCAGGCGGCAGGGCTTCGGACCAGGAGCCAGAGACCCTGCCCCACCCAGGCCCACCCTGCTTTCCATGCCTGGCTCCTCCCCCTCTGGGAGCAGGAGGCCCTGAGATCAAAGGAGAGACGTGCCTGAAGGGATAAGGACGGGGGCTTGGGGACTGGCAGGTGGCCCAACATGGTCCCCATCACTGCCCTGAGGGACCCACGGCCCAGGAGGTGGGGCCACACTGCCTGCCCCGACAGGGCCAGCAGGGATGGGGCAGGACATCAAAGGACAGGCTGGAGATTCTCTCCAGCGTCTGTCTGCTAGGCAGCCGAGAGGGAGGAGTATCCCCACCTGTCAAGGACACACGGGACAGTCATGGGTCAGCTCCAGGGACTCTGATCCCAGACCTGGAGGGTGGAGCTACAGCCTGCAGAAGGGGAGGGAGGCCCCAGAGCTGCTGGCATGTCAGTCCAGAGGGGTCTGGCAGGGAACTAGAGTGGACAGGCCTCCAGCAGTTCCCCTGCCCAGTTCATCTCTGGAGAACGCCCAGGTAGCCCCCAGCAGACAGCCCCTGACCTTGAGATGTCTCTTAGCCCAGGGAGGACCAGAACCAGAGGAGGCCCTGTGATATCAGGAGCAGCAGACAGAGTGGAGGGAACCAGCCAGGGACAGCTGCACACAGAAGGCAGGAAAGGCCAGGCGGTGGGTTCTCCCAGCCCCTGAGCCTCAGGCCCACCGACACCTCGACGTTAGGCCTCCTGCCATCCAGAACCACGAGAAACACACTCATGATGCCTCAAACCGCTCACTCAGACAGAGGCCACAGAGGACAACCCAGCCCCCATCGGGCTAGGGGAGAGTGTTCACTTCCTGGGGAGGAGCGGCCCCCCAGCTGCTGCGCCACACACACAAGGGACACCAAGGACGGCCCTGGGATCAACAGGGCCGAGACCAAGGCCTGAGACGGGCGTCCAAGGTCCGGATGCCCCACCACACAGATACCCATGGTGTTAGGGTTTAAATCTAGAGGAAGCCTGCAGACTTTCTCTATGCTATTTGAATTTTCCATTGATCACTAGAAAAAGCAGTACAAATTTTGCCTTAAAGGAAAACAGCTGTGGGGGCCCCAGGCCCTGGGTCCTGGCACTTCGTCTTCAATGAGGATGCACATCGCCTGCCAGGGCATTGGGGTTTGCATCCTAAGAAACTGAACCCCCGGGTTTTGGGGTTTTTTTGGTGTTTTTTGCTTTTGTTTTGTGGTCTTTTTGAGACAGGGTCTCGCTGTGCAGTTCAGGCTGGTCTTGAACTCACTTTGCAGCCCAGGCTGGCCTCGAACTCACAATGATCCTCCTGCCTCAGCTTCCCAAGTGCTGGGATTACAGGCATGCACCACCATGCCCTGCTGAATCCCCATTTTTAATGGCTTCGTGGAGCTGCCATCTGCATCCCTGCATCCACCTGTGGGAAGTGCCCAGCCCAATGATTTCTAAGCTATCTGCAGAGTTGTGCAACCACTGCCCCAATCTGACCTCAGATTATCTTCATCGCTTGGTGAGGAAGCCTCACAGTCAGCAGCGCCGCCGCTCCCGCCCCGTCCTGGGCACCCACTGTTCTGGGCTCGGCCCTGGCTTCCCCCGATCGGGATGCGTCACAGGAAATTGTGGCTGCCTCACGCCGCACTCAGCCTGTGGAGGCCCTGCCAGGCCGCCCAGGCACTGAACTCCCTTTCACACCGGCTCAGCTGTCACACCCACTACCTGGGTGGCCTGGCAGTGCCCTGCACCAGCAGACGCACAGTCAGCGGCAGTACGGGAGTGGACAGCCTCGCGTCCGCTCCCGTCACTGTCCCCCAGGCCCCGGCCCTCTCCACGTGGCACCAGGCTGAGCCCAGATCCCTGGGGAGGCTGAGAAGGCAGGCGGGGCCTTGCCAAAGCATGAGGGTCACAGATGGGCAGAGGCTCCTATGGGCAAGATCTGTCCACAGACCCTGGGCGACACTCACAGGGGTACCAACCTGGGGCTAGGACCAAGAAGCCACCAACTAAAAGGGGTCTGTGGTGTGGCTGCAGCACCAGACCCTGGGGGACACTGAGTCAGCCCGGTGTAGACCCTCATCTCTAGTGACCCTTGGTCACAAAGCAGACGGAATCCTGCCAGGCCACAGCCTTTCTGGAACAATCACAGATGTCCACGCCACCAGGAAGCACCGCCAAACCCCAGCAATGAGAAGTCTCGCAGACGACTTCATGTCTCGCGCCCAACAGGGAGATCACTGACAGGGATTCACATCCAGGGATCCACCCTCCACCTGGGGAGATGTCTCCCCCAAGTCCCGGAAAGCGGCTGTGATGAACAGTCTACAGAGATCGCAGAATCCTAAAAATAAGTAGAGTGTATAATACATGGAATAGTAAGAAAAAATAATAACATCTCCACCTTTAGAATCTATAGGATACACTAAAAGCTGTGCTTACAGAAAGAGTGGACCTCAATGTTAAAGTTAAAAAGATTAAAGTTAATTATAAATAAATGTGAATCAGTGTGATATGTATTCAACTAATTGGTTTTAAAAGAGCAAACATGCCAAAGGAAAGCAAAAGCAATACAATTTTCAATTTTCTAAGTGAAATTAATGATATCTTAAATGATAGAAAAAACTATAGAATAGATCAAAAGCTAGAAATGCATTTAAAAATATGCAAAACTAATAGAAATAAGAAAATATAAGGTGAAAATAAGAGTAATTTAGAAGAAACTTAAGTAGCTAAGCAACTGAATTCCTTCTTCAACCCTATGCAAATAAATGTGAAAACCTGGATGAAATGGATATTCTCCTAGGAAACATAATTTACCAAGACTAACTAGAGAGAGAGATCCAGAAAGAACAGTCACCCGAAGAAAAATAGAGAAACTTGACAAGCAGCCAACTTCCCAAAGGGACCAGTCTCAGACAGTGTAACAAAGGAATTCAATCAAACCTTCAAAGGGGGGATCATTCCAAAGCCTTCCAGAATTCTTCGATGAGGTGAGCACAAGACTGACATCAAAATCCAACAAACATTGTAAAAGATCAGCCTCTTCTAGGGAGCCCCACGTACAGCTCCTGAGCGAAAACACCAGCAGACGTGTCTTCGTGCATACGTGGCGATCACCTCCTGCACCGCAGGCTGGAGTCCTGGGCTGGTCTCCTGGGCAGTTCCTAGCAGGTGCACCAGAGGCAGGGAGGAGCTGATGACATTCAACCTTCACCCTTACTGAAAGGTAAAAAGGCTTACGGACTAGAAACATGGAAATCTCCCTTGTGGGATATAGATACCCACATGGCCCCAAACTGGCGCTATATTTAATCAGGGAACCCACCTCCAGTCCCACAAGACCTGAGCAAAATCAGGCACGGTAGCACAAGCCTGTAGTCTCAGCCACTCAGGAGGCTGAGGCAGGAGGAGCATTTGAGTCCAGGATTTTGAGGCCAGCCTGGGCAACATATTGTGATCTCCATCTCTTCAGGAAAGAAAGAACACAGCAAGAGGAGGAATGTAAGTCAGCACTGTTATTTCACTTTGTGACTAAGGGGCAAGTGGGCGGCATGAGGAAAAGACAGAGCCAGGGACCTCATCACAGAGGGGAGAGGTTGAATCGGTGCTATTTCCGATCAAACGGCCGTATGGCCCCGTCCAGAAAAGCATGAGAAAGTCAGCTAGCATTGCTGCATACCACAGCAGGGCTCTGGGTAAAGACCGAGTACAAAAATAGCACAGCAGAAGACCATCGCTTTGGCATACACCAGGGAAAGCACGTGGCAGAGGACGGAATGGGAACCCCCACGCGAGGCAGCAGTGAAACCCACAACACCCCGAGGATATAAAATTAAAAGAAATGTGAAAACTTACGTGAAGAAGTTTGTGAACTGCTTCTTGGAGACACAGATTTTGAAGGAAAGAAAATGCAGGTTACACAAACCCAACATCGTGACGCGTCCCCCTCCACAGCCAGATGTAAAGCCTTGCAACCACAGAAACAGTGCCAGCGAGACACTGAGGATGGAGGAGCAGAAGTTGAAGTCGCAACCCAGCAGGAAGCACCCCGAGGACACTGCAGTGCCCCTGAGCGGACTCGGTCCACGCCAGGCTCGGCAGCCCCAATGCCAAACTACGCGCACACACAGAAGTCAGAACGCAGGGCGCCTCGGAGATGGGAAAGGACCCTCCAGCGGGGATGGGGTGGGGACACCCGCAAGGCTGAGCAGGACAATGACAGCCCCTAGGGAGAGGTGAGGTAGGGGACAGCCTACACCCGGCACCCAGAAAGATGCAGAAAGAGAAGGCAGGCAGGAGTCCGGGAAGCCGGCAGGCATGACTGTATCCGCACCACCTCACCTCCACGGGGCAGAACCCGCGTGCGGCACTCTGCCTGTGCGGGGTGGAGTGACCTGGGGGAGTGCCGTGCTTGGCTGGCAAGAGCAGCCTCGGGTCTGCGTGAGGGGTACCAGGGGCCCGGGGAGCAGAACCCTGATGAGCCCTGGGCAAGAGCAGACACAAGGGTCCCCTTGGCAGAGCACAAAGCAGCTACACGGAAAGCTGTGGCAGTTCAGCAAATGCACACTGTCTGGTGCCGCCACCCCCGCCCCCCATGGTGCCGAAAGAGCAGCCCAAATCAGGAGGCACGAGCCCCTCGGCCACAGGCCGGGGCCCTGGCTGGAGGCCCAGGAGGCAGGGTACCACCGCCCGCCCAGTGGAGGCCCAGGCCGGGGAGAGGGCGGTGGAGCCCTGTGTCTGTGCCTGCGGTCAGCTCATGAGAATATGGGCCTGGGGTGGCTTCATCGCCTGGACGCAATGGACCCAGGTAGCTCTGCCCGCCAACAGGCGAAATCTCCTCTCCACACTCCCCTCCGCTGCAGGCCCCAGGTGGGCAGCTGCACTTCAGAGCGCAAGGCCTGTCCCCTCACCACCTGAGCCACCCAGGGCAGCCCAGCAGCCTTCCAGCACACTCAGCTCAGCTCCACAGGGCAAGGTAGGCCCTGCCCCAGTCCCAAGACAAAGCAGGTGGTCCTGAGGACGGAGTACCTGCCCTGGGCACACTCTGAGGGCCATGGCACCCCGAGACCTGTCCCATGTCCGTCAGCACCCAGGGCCCCTTCCCTTCCTGCCGGGCTCAGGCTGAGTGGGGCCAGGGAGCAGGCAGGGAAGGACAGGGCCAAGGCCTTTGAGGGAGGCAGGGTGGGACCGCCGGGGTGTGGGAGGGCAGGAACAGGGCGGAACCAGGCAGGGGGAGGGAGAGACCCCGGCAGCTGCCCTGGCCCGAGTGGGTGGCAGCCAAGCTGAGGAATCCAGGCTGAGGCAGGGTTGGGCAGGTCTGGAGCAACAGCAGACACCGTAGACCCCACAGCCCGAGGCCCACGCAGGGTGCAGAGTGGGGCTGAGGGGAGAGCCTGGCAATGGGGATGAGGGAGCAACACAGGGCCAGTGCCCGCCTGTGCTCTGCGACCCTGGGCAGGGGCAGCCGGTCCACTCGAGGAGACGCGTCCTCTCGAATCCCAGGGGACCCCCACACCTGGGCGCTGGAGGCCGCACCCTGTGCCACTCAGCACAGAACTGCATCAAGCCAGGGCTGGGACGTGGGCCCTGCAGTTCTCGGCTGGGTGGTGGCCCTGTGGGGAGGGCGCTGTGGGAGGGGCAGAGCCCGCCCGGGTCCAGCTCGGGGCCGCAGTGGTCACGTCCCGCGCCAAGCCTGCAGTAGGACCCACAGTGCCGACCTCGGCTTTCAGGCCAAAGCGCAGCCTTGGAGCGTGCAGGCAAAAATCCTGTGATTTTTTTTTTTTTTTTCAAATAGTTGGGGCTTGGCAAGTCCCGCGCGGTGCCCTGCCAAGCCCTCCCTCCTCCTGTAATTTACAGGAGCAGAAGCACAAGAAGCAAAACCACCGCGCATTCCGAGGAGATGCGGCCGCTACCCAGTCACCAGGATGGCCGCAGCCTCGCGGGGTCTTCTCCAGCCCTGTAAACTCTGCCTCTGTCTTAGCTCGCGTGATCCCTGCCAGTGAGGAGGTCCTGAAGGCAGTCGGCGCCAGATCACTCGGGGGGCTCTGCAGAGACCCTGAGCCACTGGCCGGGACTCACCCAGCCAGCAGACCCTGCCGAGCCCCACGGCGGCAGGGAGGGACAGGCCAGCGACCTGCACTTGGACCTTACACATTCAGCCCCCTGGAGCACACGGGGAAGGGCTGGGCACAGACAGGCCTTGAGGGACGGCTGAGGCTTGGCCTGGGCTGGCTTGGAGGGGGCTGGGGAGCAGGGGATGAGGGACAGAGGGGTCAGCAGAGCAGCAGAAGCAGACAGTGCCAAGCAGTGGGCCGTGAGAAGGCCGGGTCCCTGGGCGCTGGGTAGACAGAGGCACCCCACTGGGCTCTCACGCACACGGGGCTGACCATCCTACCTTGCTGCACAGGCCCTGGCCTGGGCACTTCCTGCGGCCCGTAGTGGGTCAGTCACGGTGGGCCAGGCTGCTGTAGATGGCACCACACCCCGTGGCAGCCGCTGAGCCGCAGCCCACACGGAATGACAAGGCCGGCCGGCCTGCTCCCGGGGCCTGCAGCCAAGCGTCAACGATGTTGAGCAGCAGTTCTATTCGGCTTGTGCTCGGCTTATGGCGGGGGCATCTGCTTCCGCTGCCTGTCCTGCCCGGGAGCAGAGCCGCGGGCCCAAGGCCCACCGGCTCACAGGCAGGAGGGGAGGCTCCACGTGCACCCCTGGCGGGGCCAGCGCCTGCACACCGAGCGCAGGCTTCCAGGGGGCAACACTGAGCAGACGCCTTGGGGCGTGATGAGGGCCCGGGGCCTCAGCAGCTGAGAACCGCAGGATCTGGCAGGGAGGGGACACCCAGGTCCTTTCGCAGCACCACAGTCCCTGGCGCCGAAGCCTTCCTCCCGCGCAGGCCAGGATACGCCGTCCACCGAAGTATGCCCACTTCACAGGAAGGCAGAGCCCACTGGGGTGCATAAGCTGCCTGAGCACCCTGAGCACCTCGGCACCTAGGGCACACGCAGGCTGAGCACGTCCCGGCCAGGAGCTGAGAAGGTGGGCTGTGCCCGACGGGTGCCCTCCTGCAGAGGAGCCAGGGAGCTGCCAGTCACACCAAGCTGGGCAGCAGCCAGAGCAAGCCAAGGGCAGCATCACAGGATGTGGGCCGAGGCGGGAGGGGCCGGCAAGACGTGACACGGAAAGGCCTGGGCCAGCCTTAGTGAGCCCGCCCAGCCTGGGGTCTCCCGTTCCCAGGGCCAGAGGCTGCCTCAACAGCAGTGAACTCCTAGTGACTCCCCACACCAAGGTGTGAAGGGCCCACAGGTGTTAAGACCCTCACACCCTTCCCTGCTAAAGCTCTGGCCCGGGCACCTCACAGCAGGGAAGGGGCGAAGCTTCCTTAACCGGATAAAGGCTTCTTGTAGGAACCCTCAGCAACAGCATGCCAAAGGGTAAAATTTTAAAATGTTCCCTTTCAGGTCAAGGGAGAAGACAGCGGTGGTCATCGTCATTACCAGCACCTTTCTCTATGAAGCTAGAACTCCTAGTGAAGGCAATCATGTTACAAAAAAAAAGAAAGAAAGACGAGAAAGGCATGACTACTGGGAGATGAAAAGATCGAGTTGGCATCAGTGTGGGTGCAGTCACCGCCCCCCAAGCCACAGAAAGCATCAACTGGAAAATTACGAGAACTAATTCAATAATTCAGTGATGTTGTGAGGTGGAAAAGGTCAGCGTTTACTAGTGAATAACCTTCCTGTCCACAGCAATGACCAGTGAACGTACAGTGTCAGAAACAATTCTCAGCACAGCTAACATTTAAAAACAAAAGCACTGAAAATAAACTGGGAAAATGTGGACAGGTCTAGATGGTGATGACTGTTAGACTTTACTACAAAGCAATGAAAAGCAAAAGGAGAGATTCGAAATGCAGGGTCGGGACTCAGCCTGAGATCATCCCTCCCGGCACACATCTCCAAATTCAGGGTTACCCTCACCCCTTCTTTACGGGTCTTGACAGATTGAACCCAACTTCGACCTGGAAGGGAACATTTAAAGAACAGCCAATACATTTTGAAAGATAAGAAATACATATTGTACAAAGCGAAATGGTGAAATGACCAAAGAGTGAGGGTCTGGGACGACATCCCCAGGGGGAATATTTGGGGGTGACCTGTCGCCACGGGCACCAGGGAGGAGAATGTGGGCAGCACGGGTTCCAGGCAAAGGTCCAAGAAGAGCTCCTCAAAACTCAGCACAGCAAGACCAAAGATGAGGATGATGGCCAACGGCGTGAGCAGAGGGAGCGCGGAGCAGCCGGCAGCGCGGGAAAGGAAGCGTGTGCAGAAGATCCCATCGCAGTCAGCAGACAGGCGGGGACACTCGGAGGGGCCGGCGGGCCCCTGGACTCCAGGGCCCTTGACCGCTGACAGGGGCACAGCAACAGGGCTTCTTCTTTT